TCTCCACCCCCCCCCCCCCCCCCCAAGTGTTCTTATAAACATACTCTATCCAGGACTTTTTCAAAAGGCTCTTATGTATTTAAGACTAGATATTCACCTGAACTGTAAAGAACACACTTTAGATTTCAGTACCAAAGCAATATATTTAAAAAAAAAAAAAACACACCACCACATACTCTCATTTCACCTTCTCTCTGTCCTGTTCTTTTATACTGCATGTGGTAATCATAGAATAAGAGAATAGTTAGGGTTGGAAAGGACCTTAAGATCATCTAGTTCCAACCCCCCTGCCATGAGAAGGGACACCACACACTAAACTATGTCGCCCAAGGCTCTGTCCAGCCTGGCCTTGAATACCTCCAGGGTTGGAGCATTCACAACTTCCTTGGGCAACCTATTCCAGTGCCTCACCACCCTCACTGTGAAGAACTTCTTCCTTATATATAACCTAAAGTTCCCCTGTTTAAGTTTAAACCCATTACCCCTTGTCCTACCACTAAAGTCCCTAATGAAGAGTCCCTCCCCAGCATCCTTGTAGGCTCCCTTCAGATATTGGAAGGCTGGTATGAGGTCTCCATGCAGCCTTCTCTTCTCCAGGCTGAACAGCCCCAACTTTCTCAGCCTGTCTTCACACAGGAGGTGCTCCAGTCCTCTTATTATCCTCATGGCCCTCCTCTGGCCTTACTCCAACAGCTCCATGTCCTTTTTATGTTGAGGACACCAGAACTGCACACAATACTCCAAGTGAGGTCTCACAAGAGCAGAGTAGAGGGGCAGGATCACCTCCTTTGATGTTCTTACTGAGGAAGCAGAATGAGGGTTTGTCCTCACAATAGAAGTCATTTGAAAGAATTCATCAAGGTAGAATCGTAACAGAGTTTTTTGGTGCTTAAGCCTGAGTCAGAAAATTGGATTAAAGACATCACTATCCTTTATGTTTTAACATAATATCTTACCTCACATCAAAATGTTAAGAGATCTTCACTACAGTTTTCTCTTCACTTATCACATCTTGAGTTAAAATTTAAAGGTTGTCTAGAGCTGCTTAGGGTAATTAGCCATAGCAGGCAGAAATTTCTCTTGGTGACTGCTACTTCAGCAGGCCATACTACTGCTTGAGTTGGTGAACATTACAAAATTTGCTTTGACAGTAACACCTGCAAACACCAAACCATTTTGTAGGTGAAGGAAAAACATGATTGTTTTGTTTTCATGATGAAGAACTATCTGTGTAATTATTTCTGCACAAATCCATACACGGCCAGTCCACAGTACTTGTATTTGTCTTACTCACTAGATAGTTGTCTCACATTCTGCACAGAGTGAGTCTGTGCAGCAGTGATGCTTACTCAGCATTTTATGAGCCATTCAAGCTGCAGGAAAAATTCAGCAGTGTTTTTCTTTCTACTAAATGTGTGCCAAGGACATGATCACTCCATCTTGCATTCCACCATTTTTGCAGTAAAGTCTAAATGGTACTGTTAAAATTACACACAGTTGAAACAAAAAGGAATATATAGTTACATTGATTCCAACTAAAATATCATCTAGCCACGCATCCTGTCACCAAAGACAGTTGGGGTTGTTTGGGGACAGTTAAGGAAGGGTAAGCATAATTCCTTCTAATATTCCTCTATCCTCCCAAAATTTATGTTTCAGGGACTTCCTGAATCAACTGTAGTCGCTGTGTACTGTGTAATCCCCAATGGATTTCACTTCACATTTGAGTATGTTAACATTTGAGTTCAG